TCAGCATTACTCTTTTTTTTGGGCCTGCATGCTGTCCCTCAGCTCTTCAGCTCAAGGCTAGTGCTCTACCACTTGAGCCACAGCACCACTTCCGGCTTTTTTTTTGTTTATGTGGTGCTGAGGAATCGAACCCAGGACCTCATGCATGCAAGGCAAGCACTCTACCACTGAGCCACCTTCCCAGCCCTTCAGCATTACTCTTACGGGCCTCATTAGAGAAAAGACTAGTAAAATAACAGAAATAGTGAAAAACATAACACTAACTAGACCATGAAAAATACATGTGTAATATGAAAAGTGTGTATTATGAAAGCTGAAACAAGAAGACAAGTATTACTTTATTCAGACTGAGCTGGGGATCTCATCTGGGAACACACCTCAACTTCTATACTGTTCTGTGCATATGACTGTGAAAACACTACAAGTATTGATAGGTATTTTTAATGCATAAATTCACATATATGTAAAGCGGGCTAAAAAAATGTAAGATGCTAACTTGGAGTAGTCAGTAGAAAGAAATGTAGGGTAGACCTTTAGGGTTCTGGTAATGTTCTTGGTCCAGAACATTGGTTATTTAGTGTGTGTTCACTTTGTGAAAACTAGGCTGTGAATTCATGCTTTGTTTTTGTTTTGTTTGTTTGTCTTTTTAAAATTTTACTCCTTAGTAAAATTCAGGATCTTGGTCAGACTTTTGAGTGTCACATCTCCAGCCTTTATCAGCTTCAAGCCTGGGATGGCATTTTCACCATCTTCCTAGTGGTTTTGATTGTTTCTCCTTCAGAATAAATTTACTGTTTCAATATCCATCTCCCCTTATTATTATTATTTTTTAAATCTCTTTATAAAAGGAATAGTGAGCCACCAGGCACCAATAGCTATAATGCTAGCTACTCAGGAGGCTCAGATCTGAAGGTGGTGGTTTGAAGCCCGCCAGAACAGAACATCTCTATGAGATTCTTATCTCCAATTAACCACTCAAAAACCAGAAATGGCACTGTGGCTCAAGTGGTAGAGTACTCAGTATCAAGCACAAAGAGGCTCCGGGACAGCACCCAGGCTCTGAGTTCAAACCCTGTGACCAACCTGAAAAAACAACAACAAAAATAAAAGGATAGTGTATTACTTTCTCATTGTTGTGACCAAACACTTAAAAACAACTTAAAGGAGGAAAGATTATTTAGCTAATTTCAGAAGATTTAGTCTGTGGTTTTGCTCCCATGTTCTTGGTGGCCATGTACTATAGTGGCAATAGCGTGTGGCAGTGAATCTTCCTAAATAGATAGAAAACAGAAGCAGACTGGGGGACCCAGTATAACTTTCAAAAGCATGCCCCCAGTAACCTCTTCCATTTAGGTCCCATCTCTTAACCTTTCTAGAGCCTCCACAAATAGTGCCATCAGTTAGAGCATTTGAAAATCTGAACCTGTGGGGAACATCTTATATTCAAACTGTACACATGGTTCTGAAGTTTCTGAAGAAAGTGATTTTTCTTCAAATTATACATCTGAAAATATTTTACTGCCCTCATACTTGAATACTAACTTTCTTGTTTTTAAATTAGCACATTTTAGTATAAAGCTGGTCTCTTTGGAATGTTTCCACACATATCCACTATATGCTGTGCAATCGCAATCCCTCTATCACTCTCCAGTCTCATTCCCTGTTCTTAAAACAATTTCAGTTCTATATTTATATATGTAATTAAACTACATCTACTATAATAAATAACTCTTTGGTATAGAACTTTAATTTGGATTTTTTTTAACATTGATGGCATTAGTGTATAACCTTCTACAGTTCATGATCCTATTGAAAACAGACTTTTTTTGGAGGGAGGGGTGGTGGTGTCTCCCTATGCAGCTCTATGGCCTTGAATTTAGGATTCTTTTTCCTCAGCTTCCTCCATGCTGGGATTATAGATATATATGTATGCCACTGTTCCCAGCCTGGCCAAGGTTCTTGATGGGTGGTGGGGAGGAAGAGCTTTGTTCTTTTCCCCTACCTCTCTTCCTGAAAGCTAGTAGGCTATCCTCTTTTTGTGTTGGTTTTCTGGAGTGTGATTAGTATAGATGCCTTAATGTCCCTTGTATTTGTGTGCAATTTCAGCCTGACAATTCAGATTCTCTCTTCTGGAAACATTTCTTGAATTATTCTGTTGATTATTTCTCACTTTTAGAATATTGAAGTTCCTAGATTGGTATTCCAGTTTTTCCTCTCTCATGTTTTATTTCCTTTGTCTGCTCCTTCCTTTTCCCTTCTCGTCCCTTCCCTTTCTTCCTCTCACTCTCCTTCCCTTTCCTCCCTGTAAACCTTTCCTGTTACCTGATCCCACTATTTTTATTGCAATATGCACTTCAGTCAGAAACCAACTTTTTATGATCCTTAGTGAATTTCCTTCTTTTTTTTTCTTTTCTTTTTCCCTCTTTAGTGTGGGCCAGTCCTGGGGCTTGAAATCAGAGCCTGGGCACTGAGCTTTATTTTGCTCATGGCTCAGGCTCTACTACTTGAGCCATAGCTCTACTGCTAGCTTTTTAGTGATTAATTGGAGATAAGAATCTCATGAATTGGGTAGGGGTGGCTCACACCAATAGTCCTAGCTACTCAGGAGGCTAAGGTCTGAGGATAACCGGAAGCCAGTCCAGATAGGAAAGTCCATGAGACTCTTATCTCCAATAAACTACTTAGAAAAAACCAAAGTGGTGCTGGGTCTCAAGAAGCCCACAGACAGTGCTCCCAGAGTTCAAGTCCTAGGACTAACAAAAAAAAAGGAGTCTCATGGACTTTCCTGCCTGGACTGGCTTTGAACTGCAACCCTCAGCCTCCTAAGTAGCTAGGATTACAAATATGAGCCATGGTGCTTAGCATAAATATACTTCTAAAGTGGAGTATGATTTCTAATTTACTTATCTAATTCTCTCAAAAAGCTTTTACCTATCATTTGTCATTGAGCAGTTTACCATAGTTCCAGTGATATCTGATAGCTATAAATTGTTTCTTATCTGTTTTCCTTTGCCATAACTAAGATTATGCTTTTCCCATTTTCCTAGTTTAGTTATTTAATTCTACTTTCCAACTTCCAAATATTTGCTGTTATTATTTACTTTTATTTATTTATTTATTTTTGTCAGTTCTGGGCTTGAATTCAGGGCCTGGGCACTGTTCCTGAGTTTCTTTTTGCTCAAGGCTATCAATCTACCACTTATACCACAGTACCACTTCTGGCCTTTTCTGTTCAAACCCAGGGCTTCATGCATGCTAGGCAAGCACTCTACCACCAAGTCACATTCTCACCCAGGACTTGTAATCTTAAGTTATATCTACTACAAGGAATGTTTTGGTTTTTTTTTAATGTTTCATTCTCCCTGATTTCCTTTTCATTGTTATTAGTATGCTGTACTCGTGAATTCTTATTCAATGGGCTAAAAAATCTCTTGCTTCTCTTATACATTGTGGTGTTTAGATCATTCCCATTTAACAATGGAAACTTAAGTATTTCTTTCATGTCCTTTTGGCATGTACCCATCCTTCTTTCTGGATCACCTCTGTATCATACATACATATATACATACAAACAAACAAACAAACATACAAGCTCAAGTACTTGCTCTGTCACAACCTCTTTGATCATCCATTTCTCCTAGTAAGGTGTCATTTAAACACAGGAGTTGATACTTGCCTGATGTGTCCATAGCTACTAGGCTATTACTGTTTCTAGATATTAGCCTGTGTGTGTGTGTGTGTGTGTGTGTGTGTGTGTGTGTGTGTGTGTGTTACTGTTTCTAGATATTAGCCTGTGTGTGTGTGTGTGTGTACACATGTACACTAAGACTTGAACTCAGGGCCAGGACACTTTCCCTTAGCTTTTTGCTTAAGGTTGGTGCTCTGCCACTTGAGCCACACCTCCATACCTCCCCTTCTGGCTTTTGGCTCATTAATTGGAGATAAGAGTTTCATGGACTTGTCTTTAATGGCTTTGAACCATGATCTCACCCTCCTGAATAGGATTATAAGCATGAGCCACCAGTACCTGGCTAAACCATGATTTCTTAACCGTGACATTATTGACATATTGAATGAGCCAAGAGGATGCTTTAGCAGCTCTGTTGCTACAAAATTGGTGACGATTGTCCCTTTTATTCCCAGGGGTTACAACTGAGAATATCTTCTTATATTCTTCTTATATATCTTCTTCTTAAATGGCCCTAGGAAATGCTCAAGGGGGATAAAGGCAATCCAGCAGACTATAGAAGGATGGTCTTAGAGCTGAGAAACAGTACTAATACAGTACAGTATTTACATTATTTTAATAACAGTACTAATAAGTACATTATTTACTTCAAATGTCCTTAGGAAGAGAAATGAATATTGATATACTTATTATAGTTCTATAATGTAGATTATTATGTATGTTGTTGTTATCCCCCTCTCCCTCTTTGATTCAATACTGGGGTCTGAACCCCATGCCTCATACTTGTTAGGCAAGTGTTCTACTACTTGAGCCATGCTCATCATCTCTTTTTGGCTTTTTTGTTTTGTTTTTAAGGTAAAGTCTTGGGCATTTTGCCCATGGGCCAGCTTTGGACTACAATCCTATCATATATACCTCCCATATAGTCTTTCAGATTTACTTGCTCAGGCTGACTTCAAATCTCTATCCTCACACATCATCCTCCTGATTAGGATTGTAAGTGTGAGCCACTGCTGCCTGCCTTCTCCTTCTCCTACTCCCAGAAGAAAAGGTTGTAGAAAATCAGTTTGAAAATATTTAACTAATAAGTCAAGAAGTTCCAATTCAGGTAGGAGGAAGATTTAGCTGTTTGAAGTGACATTCTCTCCCAAATACATGTGGCCTGTTTCTCTGGGCCAGAAGTCATCTGTTCTATGTTCATTATTGGCAAATACAATGGAAAGCTTTCCAAGAAGCCTCTAAGCCATATTAGAGCCAGTCATACAGTCTTAACATCACTTGTATGGTGTTTAGTATGTCTTCATCGTATACCATGGGAGAGGAGCTAAGAAGCACTAAGCTGAAAAATCAGTTCATACAGAAATTAACCAGCATAAAACAATTCAATTCTGGGGACAAGGAAGAGGAGGGTATGTTTAATTCATACATTTCTAGATTAAATATTTTACCTTTTTATACCTCAGTGTAAAACTAGCTGGGCACCAGTGGCTCACACCTGTAATCCTAGCTACTCAGAAGGCTGAGATCTGAGGATCGAGTTTCAAAGCCAGCCAGGGCAGGAAAGGCCTTGAAACTCTAATAAACCACCAGAAAACTGGAAGTGGTACTGTGGCTCAAGTGGTAGAGCTCTAGCCTTGAGCTACAGAGCTCAGGCCCAGAGTTCAAGCCCCATAACTGACAACAACAAAAACTAATCATCCTGTTACTCAAAACTATCTTACTTCCTAGCATGTACTAGGTCTTTAATGTGATCCCCAGCACTGCAAAACCACTCATTTTACACCCTCCTTTATGATGAAATGAGATGGCAAATTTGTGGCACTTTTCATAAAACATTTTAAGTTCTCCCTCCCTGCGCCCCACCAATCCTGGGCTTGAACTAGGGGCCTGGGCACTCTCCCTGAGCTTCTTTTGCTCTTAGTAGCACTCTACCACTGGAGCCACAGTCCCACTTCCAGCTTTTTCTGTTTATGGTGGTACTGAGGAATTGATCCTAGGGCTTCATGCATGCTAGGCAAGCACTCCACCACTAAGTCACATTCCCAGCCTCAAGCATTTTAACATATAGAAAGAAACTGGTTTTAGTTTCAAATAGATTCATTGTGCTTTTTTTGTTTGTTTGTTTAGTTTTGTTATGCTGTGCTGGATATGGAATGCAGGGCTCTACCACTTGAGCACTTGGTTAGTGCTAGTGGTACTTTGTACCACTTCTTGATTTCATTTAATTTTCTTTTGTCTCTTTTTATTTCCCAGCTGGCATAATTGATGATGATGATGATGATGATGATGATGATGTTGTAGTTGTACAAAGAGATTACAATTCCATAAGTCGTTATGAATAGAATGCTTCTTGACCAGTGTCACCCCTTCCCTTATTTTCCCCCATTTTCCACCAGTATTTTTCTGCTAGTATTGTGTATTTCCTATTCACATTTCACTACATTTTCCACATATGTATGTGTTCATAACATTTATTATTGTTTTATAGTTTATATGCATGGTATCATATCGTCTGTATCTTACATGTTTGAAAAGGCAAAAGCTAAAAAGTAAAGTATTTGTTTGAGAATCAAATTGATTGTTACTCTACAGTGCTATGGATTATGACACCAGACTTATTTCTAGGTTTTTTTTTATAATGTTTTAGATAAAGGAGATTGCAAGGTTTAAAACACCTACCAGTAAAATAACATGGAGTTTCAGAGTTGAGAAATAGAAATAGTCTAAGCACTGACAAAATAGTCTAAGAACTGAGTTAGGTGTGGATAGCTGTATGTAATTGGTTTTCATCCTTTGATAAGAAAGCAGTGTTTATAAGCACCTGCTTCAGTGCTTCAATTCCACTCATCTTAATCACTACTAATTGTCCTATCCTTTGGAGCAAGTGTTTAGTCCCTGTGTGTCTTAGATTATTCATCCATTGAAAAACAAAAGTTCAGTAACCAAATCTTATCTAGGGCATCAAAGCCAGTAAACACTAATTGAAGTATCATTGCTCACTAAAGATATTCTAAATGATTTTTGCAGGCTCCCTCTAAACATTTGAAATTTAATATATTTTTCAGTAGTACTCTTCTTTAGAAGTCTCTGCAAAATGCTCACGTAATCATCAATTACAATAAAAATTGTCATCTTTTCTAAAGGGCTCTTGTCTTTTGGTGTGGCTTAGAGCCTAAACCAAGCTCTCTCTGCTTTGACCCAACAGATAAGGGAGAGGGGCATCTTCAGAACACAGTAGTTTGTTTCTCTCTGTGCATTGTTTAAAACAACTGAATGGCTTGTATATGTATATGAAAATGCCAGGCACTCATGGCTCATACCTGTAATTCTAGCTACTCAGGAGGCTGAGATCTGAGGATCACAGTTCAGACTAGCCCAGGCAGGAAAGTCTGTGAGCTTCTTATCTCCAATAAACTACTCAGAAAAAGCTGGAAGTAGTGCTATAGTGGTAGAACCAGCCTTCAGCAAATGAAAGTCAGAGGTAGTACTCCTGCCTTGTGTTCAAGCTCCAGGACCAGAAAAAATTATTCTGGATACATATTTATCCCTTTTTCTCTTCTCTGTTTATGTTCTTTTACATGATTACTCTAGGAAATCAGCTCTTTTCATTTTATTCATTCAGGAAGTATTTGCTAAGTCCTTACCCTGTCCCAGGCCCTCCTTTAATACTTCTTCCTTCCTGTTTTTCTTTTTCTCTTTGATTTGTTGGTTCTTTGTGAACTTCAGTGAAACAATGTTTGACTGTATTGCAAAGGCTGGCCTTACCCTCCCAAGCCTCCAGCCTCAGCCTACCAAATGTTTAATAGGGATTCCAACTGCATATATCACCATGCCTGATTTCTTCCTTTGCTTTATGAGTTAGAATCTGATCATCGCTGGGTATAATAGTTAATTGAGTAATATAAAAACTTGACCATTACCAGGTAGGAGACTCTGAAAGACTATTCCTAAGCTTACTGATAATGAAGGCCGTTGTCAAATGATAGATTTCTGTTTGCAGACCAGGAGTGCCCTTTTTTTGGGGGGGGGTAGTGGGGGCTATTAGTCATTAGGCTTGAACTCTGGGTCTGAGCACTATGCCTGAGTTCTTCAGCTCTAGGGTAGCACTCTACCACTTGAGCCACAGCACCACTTCCAGTTTTCTGGTGGTTTATTGGAGGTAAGAGTCCCACAGCCTTTCCTGCCTGGGCTGGCTTTGAACTGTGATCCTCAGATCTCAGCCTCCTGAGTAGATAGTATTACAGGCATGAGCCACCAGTGCCCAGTATGGAGTGCCTTTTTATGAACAAATAATAATGTCTATGAGTGGTTTAAAGCCAAGCAGTCAGTTATTTCTAAATGGACTCCCTCTATGAACTTTGACAAAGTTCTTAAGAAACTTCTTAAATATAGTATAAAATCCTTCTTTTCCTCCATTTTGTTGGACAGATTGACACTGGGTTTGATCATGTATATTCTTATACCTTCCACCTTTTTTTGATGAATATAATAAGTGTACGTAATTGGGCTCACCACCACAGGTAATACCACTGTGTAGCAGAGACTTTTATACACTGTTCTCAAGTCCAGGGTCTCATACATGCTAAGTACAAACTTTACAACTATACCTCCACCTTCCTCTAGCAAATGTTTTTGCTCACTTTTGTATCTCAACATATATAATACTAAATAAATTAGGAAAGGATGCATGGGTACTCTTTTTTTTTTTTTTTTGGTCCGGTCGTGGGGCCTGAACTCTGGGCCTGGGCGCTGTCCCTCAGCTCTTCACCCCAAGGCTAGCTCTCTACTTGAGCCACAGTGCCACTTGCGGCTTTTTTCTTTTTGCTTATGTGGTGCTGAGGAATCGAACCCAGGGCCTCATGCATACAAGGCAAGCACTCTACCACTGAGCCACCTTCCCAGCCCCACTCTTTATTGTCATATATCACAAGGCTTACAGAATTCTACTGGGGGGGGGGCAAAATTCCACCCTGGTGCTTCTGGCTCACACTAGTAATCCTAACTACTAGTGAGATCTGAGGATCGCAGCTGGCTGCCAGTGCAGGCAGGAAAAGTCTGTATAACTAATCTTTTTTTTTTTTTTTTTTTGGTTGGTTGTGAGGCTTGAACTGGCCTGGGCACTGTCTCAGCTCTACAGCTCAAGGCAAGCACTCTACCACTTGAGCCACAGCACCACTTCCAGTTTTCTGGTGGTTTATTGGAGATAACTTTCCTGCCTGGGCTGGCTTTGAATTGTGATCCTCAGATCTCAGGCTCCTGAGTAGCTAGGATTACAGGTGTAAGCCACCGGTGCCTGGCTTGTGGAATTTATCTTTAGTTAACCACCAAAAAGCTAGAAGTGGGAGAGGTGTGTCATCCTTGAAAGAAAAAGCTAAGGAATAGCACCAGGTCCTGAGTTCAAGATCCTCAGTACTAGTACAAAAGAAAGAAAAGATAGACTGATTCAGAGTGGAAGAATTTGGGATGCAGTCTAAAGCAGCCTTAATGGTTCTTGCAGAGTGACCGTGAGCTTGGTGGAGAACCCATAGTTGGTAAGGTAACTAGGAGGCATGAGCATTTCAGTACCTTCTGAGCCCCCGCCTCCACCCCCATCCCCCAGGAGGGGGGAGGCAGAAATCTGTGGCTTAGTATCATGGACTCTGAAGTTGATTTGGGCTAAGGGAGAGCACCCTGGCCCTGAGTTCAGGCCCTAGTTGTGGCACAAAAAAATCAATCCTGTGTGGAAATGGGCATGGTGATAATCCCAGGACTCAGAAGGCTGAGGCAGGAGGACTTCAAAACTCAAGGTTACATAACTATTTCAAAACCCTGTCGTAAAAAAGAAAGAACATGGGGGCTGGGAATGTGACTTAGTGATAGAGTGCTTGGCTAGCATGCATGAAGCCTTGGGTTCGATTCCTCAGTACCACATAGAAAAAGCCAGAAGTGACACTGTGGCTCAAATGGAAGAGTACTAGCCATTTATCTGCTTCTGAACTCCTTTAGCTACAGGTTGGTTTGTTTGCTTGCTTGTGGGCTGGGGTCAGTACTGTAGTTTTGAACTCAGTCTTCAGCTTTGCTTGAAAGATGCTCTTACTGTTGATATTGCTGCTTGTTTGGTTTGGCTTGGTTTGGTTTGAGATAAAAGCCTTAATTTCTGTTTGAGCATGTGCCTGTGTAAGATCCACCTATGTCAGTCTTCCAATCTAGGTAGGATGATTGGTACATGCTGCTCCATCCAGCTCTCCAATTGAGAAAGGATCTCAGGAACTTTATTGCTCAGGTTGGTCTTAAAATGTAGTCCTTCCAAGTAGCTAGAATTATAGGTATGAAACCAGTTAGTTGTGCACATTTATAGGGGTGTGTGTGTGTGTGTGTGTGTGTGTGTGTGTGTGTGTGTTGGTATTGGGGCTTGCACAGCCTGGGTTGC